TTTAGGGAAATTTTTTTTATGTAATTTATTTTGGAATTTCTATGTCAGTTCTAGAACCAACATAGATCCATGAGACATGCATAGAAAGTCCAAACTTTCTATTTCGATCAAACACGTACCGTACATGGAAAGTGACTTTTCTATGTCGGGTATCAACACCCATCATAAAATAAGTGTCAAATGTGATGTTTTAACTATTAAAAGAGGGTTGAATTGGTGTTTAAAAAAACTTTAAATGCACAAAAAAATAGTTTTACCCCTTGTTCTCGAATTTAGAAGAATACAACTTGAAATCTTTGTTCTTGAAAATGAACTTCTTGATCTTTGGAATAGTTACCTCACATACAATCATAAATATTTGTTCTTTTCTCTTGAGTTCTAGAATCTTATATTGTAGTTTTGAAAAAGATGATTGTTGTAACTTCTTGAGTCTGATTCATAGAATTGTTTCATCTAATCTTTAGATAGAGGAAGTATCAATATGTTGGTGCATAAAATGCTTCAATTAATGCATTTCACCTAAAAGTAATCCTTACCTTTGATAGATCAAGCTACTTATCAAAGCAAAGTAGCAAAGCGGGAGTAGCAGGAAGGCAAAGTCAACATGCAGGCGAGAACACAATCCTTTTTCAGGACTTTTTCCATGAAGTTTGGGATCTTTGTCCTTTGCTATACTACTCTTCAATCTTTTATACACTTTTAATAGAATGTGAGTTTCAAGACAACAACTTTCGATCTTTTAAGGTATAAAGAATTTATTCGAACATTTAAACTTGTTAATTATAATAAATAATGATCGTTAGGACTGATTTGTATACTTCACTTGATTAGCTTCATCTTATAGACGTTACTTCATCTTACACAATTTGAAACAACGACTTTTATAACATATTTTCTTACCAAAAAAATGTAGTGTTTGTTATTACTAAAACTTATAAAACATGAGGAATCTAAAATTATCTTTTGACTTAATAATCTCCCCCTTTTTGATAGTAACAAACACATTTTTTGAATAAAGCTTATTTTACCATCTTGTAAGAAAACTCTTGGTCACTGTTAGATGTGAATATGATTTTTCACATGATTTTTGAGAAAAATAGTTTCTTTAGCTTTGAAATATTCTATGTTTAAGCACAATTTATTTGCTTTTTCAAGCATAATAAGCCTTAGTACCTTAGACGTACTTTTTAAACGCAAGCAGTTTGTTGTAAAGAGTAAGTCTTTGAAATCTATAATCAAACAAACTTAGCATGATATATAGACTTACGAGACTACGCATGGTTATTTGCATACAATATACTTGCATTTATAGATGTTCCTAAATCTTGCATTCAATATAGATAAGTCATACAGACGATACTTTCGACAAATGCAACATATTATGTAGGCAAACTCCTTGTGAAAACATGTATGTCCTAGTGTATATTCAAGTAGTTGTGAAAGCATCTTATTGTGTCAGTCATGTATGAAACTTGTGTAGTTTTTGGCATACATACAGATTGTGCAAACTACCAATATAGATGTAAAATAATGCAAGACATAATAGTATAAATTGTAGGTAAATTCATAAATTGAAAAATAAGTCAAAGTAATCAAGACTTCAAAAATAAACTAAAATTCATAAATTCAAAATAATATAAACTAAATTTCAAATATTCAAAATATACTCTCTCCCCCTTTTAGCACCAACAAGATGCTATTCCAAAGAGTTAGAGTCTGCATCATCATCCTCATCAAAGCTTGGTTGAATATTCGGATAGTCAAGCACCCTAGAGAGTTGTCATCCTTGGCATCAGACCTGGCACTCCAAACTGAGTTGGTGTTTGACGGTGTAACATAGGGCTCAATATAGGCCAATTATGATGCGATCATGATCTTCTTCCATGGCCAATGGAGGAAGAAGAGGAAAGGAGGGTTGGTTAAAGGTGTTTGAGGGCTTCCGTCAAAGCTATTTGGAGGAGGTGGAGTAGATGGTGGGGTAGAAGTAGATGAGGTAGAGAATAACAAATAATGATGACTTAACAATAGACTCATTAGATTGATTTGTATACACACCAGTTTTTATTTGGGGCAAAAAAATATAAAGACTTGGAAGCTCTTAAGCTACAAAGGAGTGACCATAGAAAACTTTGAGGAAGCTTTATAAATGTCCAAGATGAATAAAGAAGAGGTCATCTCATACCATAGACTATATTTTCTTAATCCGACCGTTGAGATAGAATAAAAATGTCTCATAAGGCTATCATCCAAAATTTAGCCCGATCCAACGGTTAATTAATTCTCTAATGAGTCAAAACCGTCAATGGCTTATGCATGATGATCTTATTTTAGACGTGTACCTCTCATTACAAGACTAAATTCAAAGATCCTACCGTTGAAGTTAAATATCCATGTGTTAAGAAGATACCATAAAAAAAACTAGCATGATCCAATGCCTAACGAGTTCTCTAGAGACCCAGTACAACACCTCAAAAATTTGTTTTTTGTGGATTTCGTCCCATATCTAAAAAAAACTCAAAGGAATAAGTCCCCATCTAACAATTCTCAAAGGATTTTCTCTCCTAGATGGTTATATAAGTAACCCCTTGGCAAGGGGAATACTACACTTCTCTCCCTCTCTCTAACTTATTTCTAACTAATTTAGAATAGTGTTTTGAAAATTTTCGGTTAAGAAATCCTTTAGCCTTTGTAAGCATTTCAGGATTTTTTCTAGTCAAAATGTTTCTTTAGTGTTTAAGAGGAATTGTTGTAAAGTGTTGGAGGAGTGCCAAAAAGTGTTCTCAACTTTAAAACTTATGAAAGTGTAGCCTCAGAGGTTTCTTTTCTATAAACTCTTATTTATTATTTTCTTTAATGCTTTTGAATACATGTTTAGAATTGTTTGCATAATGTAATTGTTTAGTCGCTTTTATTTGAATAAATAGGGGTAAAAATGTAAATTAAAATATTATTTTGTTAATAAATTTGTCATAGGGTACTAATTTTAGGTGTTGTAGGATGCCCTACACGTAACCGACCCTCGAACCCAACACCTGCTATGCAGGCCTAAGTTGAATTTTTGAAACCTTTTCTTTTGTTGATGTTTTGAGTAAAATATTGATGGCGACACCATGAACCCGAAACACCTTTTCGAAAACCACCAGTGGAGGTTTAGTCCAATTATAGGGAATTCCGATGCTGGTGAGATTTTTAGGGTCTAACCATCAATTCACATAGGACCTTCCCTAAGAAGAAACATGATAAGTCACCATGTATGTTCTTTATGGTATTTGGTCACAACAGATGGAGACTCCACTAGGGATAAGCTAAGAGGGTCAGGCCCATTTAGTGACAAATTTATTGAAAATAAGTTTTAATTTAAAATTTAAACCCCTTTCATTGTTTACAAATAACTATTGTCTAGTTTGGCTTTAATAAATTGTTGTTTGTTACATTTTTGCACCTTGTGAAATACAAACACAACTCTTACACGCAAAAATTCCTCCTATATTCGAAAGCATGAGTGGTAATCTTTAGGGAGTGGATAACGTACGGTCAGTCATAGACAGGTCTTTGCTGCCCACAAGTCATTGTCAAAAATTATCACTCAAGGTGATAATTGGTTACCTCGGTCTGATACTTGGACAAACGACCAGCGTCTACCAGTTGACGATGTCAGAAGGACTGGGATCCTATAATGGGGGCACCTTGGAGGCCTTGGAGCGATCAGAACAGTTAGAACCTACTCAAGAATATGCATTTTTCTATAGGGACATCTACCTATGGAAAGAACGTGACTGTTCATGGGTGTATGTTGAATTATTGTGTGTATGCGTTGTGTGGATATTTGTATTCCGTGGAGTGAATTGGAATGTGAAAAAACACAATTTTTTTTAGTCATCATTCATCCTCTTGTATGCCTAGTGTCATCATCATATGCCATCATTTAGGTAGTTTTTATTTATCATAGAAAAACCATGGCCAAAAAATAAATCTTTATGAATAAAGTAACACTTTATCATGCATCATATTAAAGGATGAAAACATGATAAAATCCAACAAATATAAATAGTTGCATGCCTTTTTAGACTAGACGATTAACATATCATTCATTTTATTATTTTTAGATCATGGAAGAACATAGTACCAATATACCAGGACAATTGAAAAAGGTGAATGTCTTAAAATACACTATGCCTAAGATAGATTGTATATGCGCCGTGATGTCTAAAGAGGCTCGCATCGACTTTGAGAGATGTTGTGGTCGAGTTCTCAATTTGCTAAAGATATCTGTCGAATCAACCTTCTTGAGAGTCTTGGTTCACTTCTGGAAGCCAAGCCTTCATTATTTTGAGTTTCCTCACCTTGATTTGGTTCCTACCCTAGAGGAGTACAATCTCATGCTTAGATGGCCCAA